GGTGCTGAGGCGACCTAGCTTGGGCAGTCATGGTTAGAGGTCATTATGTAAGAGCATTATGATAACATTTTGTGTATATTTATGATAAAAGTAGAAGCGACATTCGTAGTTATCAAAATTAAGAAAGTTATGGACTTGGCTAGCATTAGTGGAGCAATGGTAATGGCTGCCCTACAGTTAGTGGCGTCAGCCTCATTGGCCTAACAAGAGCTGCGACTGTCACCCCATTAAAAATATTTGGGCGAATATGGTCAATACGTGGTGGAATCTTATCCCAACCCCCAGCCTCTATCCCAACCCCCAGCCTCTATCCCAACCCCCAGCCTCTATCCCAATCCCCAGCCTCTATCCCGACCCCCAGCTTCTATCCCAACCCCCAGCCTCTATCCCAACCCCCTCTAGCCTCTATCCCATCAAACCCCCAGCCTCTATCCCAACCCCCAGCCTCTATCCCAACCCCCAGCCTCCTTCCCAGCCTCTATCCCAACCCCCCAGCCTCTATCCCAACCCCCAGCCTCTATCCCAACCCCCAGCCTCTATCCCAGTCCCCAGCCTCTAACCCAACCCCCAGCCTCTATCCCAATCCCTAGCCTCTATCCCAACACATTATTTCCTTCATCACCACCAAAACATAATACATTATATTTAGTAACAATCATGACATCAAACTATTTATTATAGATTTTGATAATATTTTAAGCGTCTTCCTTAAAATTTTACCATGACAGAATTCGACAGATTTCTGGCCAGAACTGCTGCAACAAAGCTTGAGCCAGGACCTACTTTACTGACGAACAGTTGACAACCAAATATCTAACCACGTACGCACCCTGTCGTCTCTGGGCAGGAAGTGGTGCTATGGTTCTCCGACTCGTTGCTAAAAAAAGCCGCCAGAACAATAAAAAACAATCATGTTACCAGAAAGCTTCCCGTACCTCATGTTCACGGGGACAGTTCATCGCTCTCGTGGTTCTGTAGATGCTGTACTTCTACGGTCGATAGTGACACAACCTCGTGCCCACCATCGAACTCCGAGAACATTTGGGAGGGTAATGCCTTTCCTGTCACTATTGTAACTTAGAGAATCTCTCCCCCTCTCCAAAATTCATTCTTAACACGGAAAAACAACACGTGGAAACTTCCTTCTCTCGTGTTTTGTCGTATACAGCCTCCAACTCCCAACAATTTAAGATATTTTCTCTTCAATTAGTTTTAATCTTTCGCTGGGGGACGTCTTGCTGAGTAAATTTGACAAAGACCGTCTGGTGTCATCCGGCGCTTATTAAAATAAACAAAACGAAGCACACACATTCACGCCACTGTGTGCTGACTTCACACAACATACACGCGATAGACGAGTCAGATTTTCATTCCGTCAGCAGTTGTTGAACGCCCCCTCATACAGTTGTTGAGCGCCCCCACATACAGTTGCTGAGCGCCCCCCACATACAGTTGTTGAGCGCCCCCACATACAGTTGTTGAGCGCCCCCACATACAGTTGCTGAGCGCCCCCCCAAACATTTGTTGAGTGCCCCCCCTCATACAGTTGCTGAGCGCCCCCAGTTGCTGAGCGCCCCCACATACAGTTGCTGAGCGCCCCCACATACAGTTGCTGACGCCCCCACAAACATTGTTGAGCGCCCCCATACATTTGCTGAGCGCCCCCATACAGTTGCTGAGCAGCCCCCACATACAGTTGCTGCCCCCCACAACAGTTGCTGAGCCCCCCACCCCGCCCCCACATACAGTTGCTGAGCGCCCCCACATACAGTTGTTGAGCGCCCCCATACAGCTGACACTTGCGTTGCTGGCCCCCACATACAGTTGTTGGCGCCCCCACATACATTTGCATGCAGTTGCTGCAGCCCCCCACATACAGTTGCTGAGCGCCCCCCCAGTTGCTTTGCTGAGCGCCCCCACATACATTTTCATACAGTTGTTGAGCGCCCCCCACATACAGTTGTTGAGCGCCCCCACATACAGTTGCTGAGCGCCCCCACAAACATTTGTTGAGTGCCCCCCTCATACAGTTGCTGAGCTCCCCACATACAGTTGCTGAGCGCCCCCACATACAGTTGCTGAGCGCCCCCACATACAGTTGCTGCGCCCCCACATACATTTGCTGAGCGCCCCCCGCATACAGTTGCTGAACAGCCCCCACATACAGTTGTTACAGAGCGCCCCACATACATTTGCTGGCGCCCCCCCGCATGCAGTTGCTGAACAGCCCCCCACATACAGTTGCTGAACGCCCCCCATATACAGTTGTTGGCGCCCCCATTTGCTGAGCGCCCCCGCATGCAGTTGCTGAACAGCCCCCCCACATACAGTTGCTGAGCCCCCCATATACAGTTGTTGAGCGCCCCCCACATACAGTTGCTGAGCGCCCCCCCCCACATTCGTTACTCCCACTGCTGTGATCTGCGTGTTATGATAGTCATCCAGCATTCAAGTCTTATTAGCAAGCACAGAGAGGGAGAATTAGTTCCCCTCATGTGCTGTCACTCTTGCCCTCTTACTCAAGACGCTATTTTTTGCAAGAGCTTCTGTTGACTGAACACTTTCTTTCCTGCACTTAGCTTCTCTCAACTTCCTCCTCTGTTTTACCTCACCCTTACAACAAGCCCCTGCAGTATGAAATCATTCTGTGCCCTCAACTCAATACCGTTTTACGTCGGGTTTATATTCCTGTTGTCTATTATGCCAGTCAGACACTAGTCATTTTTTGTCGCAACTCTTCTGATGTTACGTTTATGCTTCACCTGTGTTCCTCCCAAATATTGTTTATGGAGTGCCGTGCCTTTCACTCTCGCTGGCACCAAACAATAAAAGTGGAACAACGTGGCAAACAACAATGTATATAAGTATGTGTATAGTTAGTATGTGTATGGTTGTTTATACTCAGAGTTTGTGTATTATTGAGTATTTTTTGTGTTTCGTGGAGATACCTTACATCTGATCGGCTTGTGACCAACATACGATAGACTGATATAGCAAATGCTTGTCTTCATGTTTCTCGTCTCTTCACCACACAGAGTCATGACCATTACTTTTGATACACACACACACACACAAAAAGATAAAATAAAATAAATGAAGCAATTTAATGCAATTCGGGAAACTTTCATAGTCCATAATCTGTCATAGCGTCACTTTACTTTGTTTATACCACTAGTCAGTTCTGTATATTTATTAGCTAAATCAGGTTAAAGGTTTACATACCCATTTACTGCATGACCCCACATTGCACGACCCCACATTGCACGACCCCACATTGCACGACCCCACATTGCACGACCCCACATTGCACGACCTCACATTGCACGACCCCACATTGCACGACCCCACATTGCTGCACACACCCCCACATTGCACGACCCCACACTGCACGACCCCACATTGCACGACCCCACACTGCACCACCCCACACTACACGATCCCACATTGTACGTTAGTCAAGGCAGTATTTGGAGAGTGTTGACTGGGAACTTCACCATCATCTCACCATACAATCTATACTTCTCACCTTCCAATTATGTTCATCACGAAAGCTCTTCAATCATTTCGTGTTTTTGACCGTTAGTGGTGAGTCCATCTATGAATCCCATGTACTCTGTGATATTATATGCTATGTATGTATGTATGTATGTCTGTCTGTCTGTCTGTCTGTCTGTCTGTCTGTCTGTCTGTCTGTCTGTCTGTCTGTCATTCGAACCAACTGTTAAGAGATTTCGACTAACGTTCTGATTGAAAGAAAAAAAAAATGTATTAGAACAACACAACAACAACACTGGTCGACAAGTTTGAGTGACAACCTCGACATAATGAGGTGACGGCAACGGGACACCTATCATCATCTTCTCTCCAGTTGTTGTTACGTTAAAACTATCCTAAGACGACAAACCATCCCGTCGGGGTATAAAGAAGACGATCCCAGAGAGAGAGAGACTCGAGAGTTTGTGTAAAAGTTTATCTTGATGGTCTGTTGGGTAGCTCTTCTTGGCCACTGGTGATTTTGTTCATGGCGTGTGATAAAGAAATGATTGAGGTGTAGTTACTAGTGGCACGACGTAAATAGACGTAAATAGACGTAAACGTAAGCAGACATAAACAGGTGGCGGTGATTCAGGCCCAAAATATATGCCCTGTGTCCTCCTGGTGTGTGTTTACAATTATCACACACACACACACACACACACACACACACACACACACACACACACACACACACACACACACATAAAACGACGTCTAACTTCGTCTTTGGTTGGTAAATAAGAGTTAAAACCTAAAATTTAAGCTTAAAAGAATTGGTCCAATTTTAACGGAACTCCACAGTAAAGTAGAAAAGACATTCATTCCTACTTTTGCTTACTGTACCTGAAGTCCTGAACACTGGGTTAACAAAAATGAGTTTGTTTGGAATCCTGTTTGGAAGTATAAATCGAACTAATAGTATTTAAGATCGCAAACAAAGTTAGCTTTTTGTGTACTATCTAATCTATATTTTGTCTATATATGCCAACAGTTTCTATGATTTCCGAGATATTACGTAAAACACTGACTGAGCAACACAGGATCTGGGACTTTCCCCTTTTAGAACGCTTGAGCTGTGGGAGAGCTGATAAATGTTATCTTTAACATCTTTTAACCTGGACGCGGTGACGTTTAATATCTCAGAGTGTTTCGAGACCTACAGAGGTGTATAAATAAATGCGTGCTGCCTACAGTAATTGTCTGAGATGATGGGCAATAAAGATTAAAGAATAATTATGTCAGTCTTCATCGTATTGTCGCGTGTGGTGAGTATAGTCAATTGTGGTTAATTTTATACGTAATTTAGATAATTTCGAGAATAAATGAGACCATCAAGTCTTAACTTTGTGAATGGCAAATGCTTCAACGACTAAAATTGTACCTCTTTAGCACTACGCATGCGCGGGGTGTGTGACGGCGGCAAGTATATAACCCGGGAGTGTTAAGTCGCCCCACACATTCTCCAGCCACAAGATGATACACAAGGTATAGGAAAAGATCTCTTGGATTCACTCGTTCAAACCCTTTGGAAATAACAATATTAATTATGCATGTAAAGATTATTGCTAGGAAATATCTGTGCAAAAATCTAATGTTTATTATTATTTTTGTCTTCACAGAGTTGCCTGGTAGCTGTGTTGGTGGTGACTGTAGCGGGATTGAAGCAGCCACACCCAACACCGGCCGGATTCTACAACAGACCAGGTTTTCACGCCAGACCCCATCGCTACCCCGGGCCCCTACACCCAGGTGGCCTCCCGTATCATCCTGGCCGTGTACATCCTGGCCGTGTACATCCTGGCCGTGTACATCCTGGCGGTCTTTTACCGGGCTATAATCCTGTAGGTCCCCAACCATACGGAGGACTTGGATTCCCTGGTGGTCCTGGCTATCAAGACCCCTACCATAATGTGAGTGTCATGTTGGTTCCGCTTATAGTATTTTATAATCTCCACGTCAACCAGATCTGTTCATTGCTCTTCGGGTCGGGCCTCAGCTGATCCTTGTAGGAATAATCTGTGAAACTGAAAACATACAGTTGACAACTAGCTGAGACTGTCGACTCTCAGCCAGTTGTATTGAGGGTGAATCTGTCACTGTGTTATGCTAATGGCTTCTGGAAGAGGCTTTATCTAAGGCTATAAACCTATCGTACCTTTGCCAGTCTGACGAATTTTGCTGCTAAAGTTCAAATAACAATCACATTTTTTTCTACGCTCTCTAGTACGGAAAATCTAAAACTCGCAGCAAATTAGATTGAGATGGGAAGTGCTATTGGTGAAGGGATTTACTCATCCAAACGCACGGTACTGACCTTGATCTTACTCGTGTGACGGTCGACTTCCTTTAACATGAAGGAAAACACAGGGAGACGACCCGGGCCATGGCGGAACAACGATGAAGGGATTATACCAATTACTGATGTGGCTGTGCAGGCGAGAACTCAATGGTTTTTGCCGGCGTTAAGTTTAATTGTTTTGGCTGTGGCTGTGTGGTAGGATCCTCTCGGTGTATGAGGACAGGAATACGCACCTGTCTTGAGGTGAGTCAATATAAAGATCACGAGATATTCTGATGGAAGTCTAGCATTCTCTTGACCAGGATCTTCATTTTTCTTACGACCATTAAAGCTGAAAAGGGTGATATAATTAATCCACGGCTCCTATAACTTTGGACCAAGAGTATCGACAACACAACAACGTCTAGGTCTCGCGAGAGTAGCTTCACAAAGATGGATGTCAGCTTTATACCTCTGGGATTGTGATTATCTCGTATCTTTCTCATTGGAGTTCTGGAAGTAAATGTCCCACAGTGATGCTCAAGGTAATGTTTTATTATTATCAAACATCACTGTAAAGATGATTGACATTTTTCCAGTTTCTCTTGAGGTTGGGTGATGGTATGTGTTTGCTTGGTATATTTCAGTACTGGAATGAACAGAGTACTGGGTAAGGTCACAGATCAACCTGGGGCATCAATTACCCTTTCATGTTTTATATTAAGGGGATTTTAGTGATGGTACTGTGACATTTCCTGAAACTATGTAGTTTTTCGTGCTGGTTCTTGAGGTGATCACGTCTCTTAAAGTGTGAATTTAGTGAACAGAACAATGAGTGCTGATGATGCGCCATCCAGTCGGCCCGTATGTTTGGGGAGAACAACGGAACGAAATCTCTCTGCAGTTGTGTGTTTAACAGTAATAGTAGATCTGACAACACGGAGGTTAAATAGCAACATGTTTTCAGCTCAAAGTGGCATGAACTCACTCAGGTGGCTTGGCTGCACAACCATCCCTTAAGGGGAACTGAAGGTTATGTTTAGAAGATGTCTGTGTTTTCTTTCTTACTTCACGGTAATGATAAAAAGCTGACCTGCGATCACAGCTTCACGACCAGCCGCTTCACCAGGAGTATATAAACATACGGCAGAGAACTATCTTGATGTTTCTATTGTTGGTTATTATGACTCACACGTGTAGTTTTTGTTTATTATTATTGTGGACTGATTAATTCATATCTCTTTTAGACACCTGCATTTTACGACTTTGAGCACTCGGTACACGACGACTACACCGGCACCCACTTCGGTCACTCTGAGGTTCGGGATGGTCACCTGACAGAGGGAAAGTACTATGTCCATCTGCCCGACGGCCGCCTCCAGACCGTCATCTACTATGCTGATCAGACGGGCTTCCATCCCACCATCACTTACGAAGGCGACCCAAACTACCTGGCTCCTGTGCACGTCCCTGGAGTACCTCTGTCAGGCTACCGTGCCCCCTGAATCCCCATCCTCCTGTGTTGTATGACTCTGATGTTGTAGCCCTCATATCCTGGGCTTCCTGCTTGCACCTGGGGACCTGGAGGCTCAATACACAAGCTACACACGTTATCAAAGTTGTGTTTGTCTTTTGGTGAACTTAGAGTATCACTTGTTTAGTTGGCATGTTACTGTCTCTGCTTTTGTCAACTTTTTGGTTTCTCTTTCTGCTTCTCTCTGTCTATCTTGTTCTTTGTCATTTTTTTTTCTGCCTCTGTTTCTCGGTTCGTCTTATTCATTATTTACTTCACTCTTTTTTCTCTCTTTCTGCTTTCGTCTCTATGTTCCATTTTATCTGGTACTCTCTCCCATTCTCCTTCATCTATCAAATAATGCAAATATTAACCAAGGAATTGTTTCTTTGGGATAATGAAGCTGTCTGACAACTTATACAAAATTTCCTTTATGTTTAGTCTTGAGTGAAATACAAAGTGAAAATCATATTGCTTTTATCATTAGCAGATCAGAAGTAAATTGAGGAGTAAACAAGAGGTAATCAAAGTGCTCTTGTCATCTATTGCTAATACCCTATGGAGTGTTTATAGGAAGACTCATAGTGACGGAACTCTGTATAAAACTACACAATATATGATGAGGCTTTGCGGATCATAACTTTGTAAGCGAAAAAAAACAACACCAGAAAACATGGTTAAAGTTTTGGAAAATGGAACTCATTATTTCCCTTGAACTAATTGTGTTAGCGAGACAAGTAGAAGGAAAAAAGGTCGTGGATTCGTAAGTGGCTTGTGAGGAGGAGGACAGAGAGTGCTCAATATAGACTGGTTGGACTATCGTAGCTACAGTAGGGAGTTGGGATTAAAAAAAACAATGTCCAAAAATTGTCCCGTCGTCATCTTTGATATCCGAATGTTTTCTGTTTTCATTGTGTATAAACTGGGAAGTAAAAAAAACAACAACAAAAAACATTGGAATATTTCTGGAGAGTTGCTTGACAGCGTTTGATTATGAGTTGTTTCAAGGGTTCAGTACAAGCAATGAGTAGTGTTCGAAACATTTGACTCATTTATTGAACAGAATGTTTTACAAATGAAAGCAAAAATTTTCTTTCGAGAAAATATATTTTTAATTACAATACAAAACCAAAACAAAACAACAATAACATGGGTTATAAACCACAATAGGTCATAAAAGGGAAGAAGTTACCCGAATGAAATTCACTTTATACTAATGAAGTCTCAACTCTGCTTCGAATCGCTTATCGAGCGAGCTGATTCGGGTTCATTGGTGCCACCTGGCCACCACCAGTGACGACGGTCTGCCGTGTTGTTAACGTATCTCTGATAAACAAATGTGATTTGTGGTGTAGAAAAGCGTTATAAAGTGACGTTGTTTCCGAAACACAAAAATGAAAGGTTAGTGTCAGTTGACATGAGATTTACAGTAAGGTAAAGGATTTGTTGGTAATGTTAGGAAAACTATTAGTGCAAAACTTTGATGTTGTCTGCTTGGGACTAGCTGACCTTTACCCATACAAGCCTTGCCATTTTATCCGTACTTGTATACACTAGGGGCGGATTCAGGCACTTGAGAGGGATGGAGAGGTACAAACTTGACACAGTAGTAGCACATACTCTATAGTTTTATGGTTGTGAGGAAGGGAAGGCCGAGATATGTTTAATTGGTATGGGTGGGGAAGGGAAGGGAAGGGGCTAAAACCCAACTTGGGATTGAAAATAAATTGATCACATGATAAAGAAATGGATAACTAACAGTATATTAGTAGTACTAGCACTTTCCACTTCAAAGGTTTATTTTGCAGTATCGTACCTTGTGTAAGGGTTTCACTTCATTGGTATAAGGTCGGGTATTTCAGCACCTGAATGTTTCATGATCTGCGTCATTTTGTCTAAAAAACATCTGTTGTACTATAGGTGCTACGTGTGTAATGACATTGACTTAGTTGTAGCTGAATCTTTTATTTAGATGACAAACCGAAAAATCAACAACATTGATGTGCTGGGATGTTATGCAGCCACTGTGTTACCTGGAAAATAACTTAACTACGATTTTTAGAAGGAAAAAAGGTCCACCTCTTGGGGAGGGGCTGCAATATAGCTTGGCCCCCTTCACTTCCTCCCTGGATACGGCTTACCTCTTTATAATCAGTCAATAATTCGGTACTAGTTTACTTTCTCTTCGCACCTTAACACTCCCTTTCAAAATTTTGTGTAAAAATTACAGCGAATGAAAGTGCACAAGACACTAAGGTATTACTGTCTCCCTCACTGAGTGTTTATTTACAAGGCGATAACTATACCTAGGTACAAGCAGTCCAAAGGGTATCTTTACAGTGGGTCTGATGAATTTAAAAATGAACACAGTGACACCTGTTGTCTCGGTAGGGTCTTCAAAATCCTTCATCCATTGTGTCATATAGGGCAGTATTCAAAATCGTGGAGCGTAGGGCGTGTCTACAGGAGGGCACGCCTACAACATCGGTGTAGTGCCTATTCTACATGTACAGAAGATCACACAAACTGTTCGTCTTGCTCCAGGGCTGCCAACATGTAACAAGGAGTAGTGTTTACGATTACTTGTATGCTTATATATCCGTTAATGTAAATTTGTATAAGAAATATCATAAAAGAAAATGGATTCAGAATTAACTATTATATAAAATAACCAACTGTTATCCTAACGTAACGATTACCGAAATAAAAAAACAAGCCGGTAAAACTTTACAACAGGTGCGCGGGTTAACGAATAACATTAGGAAAATTTTCAATTGACAAAAACATTTTCTTCTTCTCAAGGACATCGTAAATATTTAGGAGGAATAAATTTTCACTAAATTTAACCTAATCCAAAAATAAAAACTCGTATGGTTACATGACTTTTCCAACCTAAATTAACACACCAGCTGTGTAGCCTCCAGTCTACCCAACCGGGAATTCCCGGGTAAGTAGCCAATTCCAATTCAATTAAATGATGAATAAGATCAATTTTGGTTCATCTTTTCCGGTTTTTGGAAGCTGACAGCCTCAGCACATTTCCTGTGTATGAGAGTAATGCAGATTCATTTCAAATCGTTCCTCCAGATAGAAGTCAAGTATAGTACCCATAAGTTAGCCAAATTTTTCTCATTAAAAAGAAAATATTTGTTTCGATTATATTCAAATACATACTGCATATAGATGCTAATTTATATATGAAATTTTTTTTTTCTTAAGGTTTGCTCTTTGGAGGGCCTCGCCTTTCTCATGAACATTTCAGCTGTAGGCTTTTCACTAAGCCTCTTCCTACCTTACGCTCCACATTCTTGAATACGGCCCATTGTCTCATACAAACTCATAAAGATACTTTTTGGAGCAAATGTACAATTTAAGAATTATCACACAAAATTAAAATTTTTGTGATATTACATCCCGAAAGTAGTCCGGACATAACACCAGTTTTAAAATTTTTTTCCATTGATGATAAAAAACTTTCTTGCCTCAAGAAACAGAAAAAAAATGCAGGAGGAATTCATTTTGCTGTAAATCGTTTCATTATTATTATTATTATTATTATTATTATTATTATTATTATTATTATTATTATTATTATTATTATTATTATTATTAAACAAGTGATATAAAGCTGCTACTGCTGGTTTTTCATCGTGTTTATTTAGAGGCAGCGTACTTGAGTAGCACCCCATATTGTGGAGAAGCATATTAAGGATGAAGACATCAGAAAGCCAAAAAACAGTAGTGTTGAGATTCCTCCACCCTTTCTTTCTATTTGTGACATAAGAAACAAATTTTCGTCTTTAGAAAATTCCCCAAAGTAGCTCGTTCCCTTGATTGTGACATCTATAGTATTACCTGTACATCAACACTTTAGCCTTAATTAACAAATATCCAGCTGGTGGTGATGAGGCTCTTGCTTAAGTCATGTAGATGATGATTAAAAACTAGATAGAATTATTAACCTAACAATTTGTTTCATTATTAACATTGTAACAATTGTATAGATGGAGTTTAGAAAGTAGATTCCTAGTACGTATTAAGCCAACCTTCCGTTTCGTCTTTAGTAGAGTAACAGGCCTTGAAAGAATGTACACCTATACAGCATAGTAACTTCCTTCTCTCTTAACGAAGTAGCAGTGAGCCTAGATAAAATTTTCCCAGTCTGTTCATATGTGAGGAAAAACCTGCCCAAATCTCGCCAGTATAGTTTCAGATACCCGCCAAATTTCAAGCCAAATTTCAGTTATTAATTTTGTTGGTTTCAAAGTCATTTAGCTTTTAAATAAATTTCAAATTTATTTAGTAGTTTTAAATACATTTATATTAAAAAAAAAAACTGCACTACATACAGGTATGTAATTGTCTGAAAAGTCCATAGCCATCATAGTGTCTGCTCTTCTCAGTTTTTCCACATTCTCATTATCTTTAATAAGCATAATTATTCTTTTAGAATAAATATCATACCTGCCTATTGTATAAATTATAACTAGAAATTGAATATCACCTCCAGATTACAGTAAACAGTACAGGGTGTTCCAAAAAGACCTGGACGAATTTGGTTGTTATTAAATTTAGAACCAAAGCTTTCTGTTAGTTATTATAAAAGAAATACCGACTGTCCAACACACAATTATTACAGCTTGTATTCTAACTTAACCAAAATATGTTTCTTTGGCCAAAACATCCTGAGAACTCGATTATAATTCACCCTTCCACATCAGTGATCACTTGAAGCATACATCAGTAAATAATACAATTTATCTATCATGTTTTTCTCAGCCTCAAATTTCTCACATTTGCCACCAACTTTCACTGAAAATCCAATTCGAAGGAGATTGTCCAATGTTGTGCTTAAACGATTTCGTAGATCGTTTTTAATGATGTTAACTTGACTGAATACACACGAGAGAAGGAGCAGACCCACCTCTTGAGAGTTCTTTTATTGGCTTATTCCCAGCAGCTTCCTTGTCGTCGTACCGAAGTGCACCCACAAGCTGACGGTATCCATTTCTCTCTCGCGCTAATTTACAGTACCTCGACTATCTCATTTACAGTAGTCCTGGCATTTTCAACTCTCCGTGACGACATATATCTCTCTCCATCATTGCTCCTACACTTGCTGACAACATATACACTCCTCCCACCATTCTTTTTTTGTTCCTTACTCCACACTTGCCTGACCTCACCATCCACTCCTGCGTCCTGACCTCACCCTCCACTCCTGCCTCCTGACCTCACCCTCCACTCCTGCCTCCTGACCTCACCCTCCTCCTGCCTCCTGACCTCACCTCCTCCCTGCCTCCTGACCTCCACCTCCTGCCTCCTGACCTCACCTCCCTCCTGCCTCCTGACCTCACCCTCCCTCCTGCCTCCTGACACTGCCTCCTGACCTCACCCCTCCTCCTGCCTCCTGACCTCACCTCCTCCTGCCTCCTGACCTCCTCCCTCCCTGCCTCCTGACCTCACCTCCACCCTGCCTCCTGACCTCACCTCTCCACCTCACCCTGCCTCCTGACCCTCCACTCCTGCCTCCTGACCTCACCCTCCACTCCTGCCTCCTGACCTCACCCTCCACTCCTGCCTCCTGACCTCACCCTCCACTCCTGCCTCCTGACCTCACCCTCCACTCCTGCCTCCTGACCTCACCCTCCACTCCTGCCTCCTGACCTCACCCTCCCTCCCCCTACAGTTCTTCCTTAGTCCCAATGGAAATAGTTTAAATGACACGTTTCCATCTATAAACGCCTTTTGAGCGTTTAAAGGTTAATCAGACTCTTCACGTTAAACTCGAACGTTATAATTAGGTCAAATCTGTTGAATACAATTCATTTTAGTATTTCAAATAAATCATACATAGGCAATCATACATAAATGTTTAATCCAATATATATTTACCTAACAATCATAGCTATGCAATTAGTCTAATCTTAACACTTACAATGAGTACTTAATTTGCCATATTTCTACGTTATCACAATGATAACCGATGCAATGGACACAGTCTACCCGTGTAAACAATAAGTACAAGTTAAACTTATATGTTGAAAGTCTCAAGAGAAACAGGTTAGGTGTTGGCTCTATGATGGGGATAGCTACAGTGGCAGTGCCCTGCCCGGCGTCACATGCCCAGAGCTGGCTGGCCGACTTTGCTGCGTCAGGCGTCTATACACAAACAAGCTCCCCTTACTACCACCCAACACCCCAACCTCCTCTGGGTCTCTCCTCTCCACCATCTCAATACTCTATATACTGTATACTCATTACTGCTTGCGGTAACACCATCTTTGAGAAGTGAAGTTATTATTGCTTTGATCAGTGAGCGTTCGTTAAAAGGTTACAATGGGGCATGAACCACAATGATGACTCCCTTTGTGTAAAGTTATTCTGTGGAGCTGTTTGCCTCAGTATTGATGGATGAAAACATTTATTTTTCTGTGTATATTCAGCAATAGTAAAAACAGCCCTGTGGATTCATTTATGGATTCTCTTTTCAGGAGGGACAGTTCAAGGTCTTCCACGGCAAGACGGGATGACACTGCCCCATCTAAACAAGGTGAGGACCACTACTATTTGTTTCATCATAATGTTTTTATTAATGAAGTTTGTTTAGTCATACATTTCATGGTAACTATAAAAACCCTGTGATTCTACTACAGTTATATTCATGGTGGGTGAACGGTAAAGTGTTGAATGTATATGTGTGGTGAACAGTCGGTAAATTTGACTTTTTTTTCGAGCTGTGTGTTAACAGCCTCTTGACGGACCGAAACACTACTTCTCTGGTATGACAAAATTTATATTGTATTTATTTTGTATATTTTTTTTACTGCTTTCGTTGATTCAGAATTCACTTATAATCATGCGAGTACTTACTAAATTTGTCAGCGGGTGTTACTTCTCACTCTCTCTGAGGCCGTCGAAATCCCTCCCTTATCAGTGTTCTCGTATATAAACAAGCTTCCTGATCCCCTTGTGTACCCAGTCGCGCGGACATAGGTACTGTCTCTCTCCTAGCTTTAACTCCTTTTCTTAGTCTGTTAATATTTATGCCACCAAATTACATAAATTCTGATATTCCCTCGTTGTATCTTATTGCATTTTTGTTAGGGTTAGATTCTCCTTAATGCACAATAACACAGTTTGCCTTGGATGGTGGGGTGGTATCCTATGAGGTAGAACTTAGCTGATGATGCATTATTTTGGCCCAACTCTTCCTGGCTGCTCTGAATTCACTTACGCTTATAAAAAACATCAGATTTATTTACAAAGCCTCTGGCATTTATACACCAACATTCTATGGCCTTGGAATTTTCCGATGGCATTGACAATCTCACCATATTGTAAGTATTTGCGATACTTTTGGTGAAGATATACATTTATTTTTATGCTCATCACGTTATATAAGACGTCAGGTGAATTTTTTCCAATATAAAGTTATCAGTCTTAGTAAAAACCTCATTTTCTCATTATTTATTGCAAACAGCGAGAACTACAGTACACAGACAAATACGTGAGTTGTTGGACAGGTGTTATCGTAGTGGTTACCTGGTGACCTCCCTAACCTTCCTTTCACTTAGTTATTTTAAGAACCTGGAGGACCTCTTGATACTGGAGTCGGCGAGTAACACAGCGGGGTCTTCTGAGCTGCACTTAAGTAACACACTGTATGACTGAGACGCCTAACTGTTGTACTTCTCTAGGTTTATTGATATTGTGAGTTTTAGAATATTATCGTAGTTCTGCCTCTCTTGATCACTCTCGATACTAGATCACATTATTTTGTTCTTTTATATGAGTTTAAAAGTTGTATTAGTCATTTAGGAACACCGTTTTGAGTCGAGTGATGTAATACCTTGAAAAAATGGTCGCGTGTTTTGCTTGGTTCACTCTTCAGCTGTTTGTACTACCTGGTTTTATGAATTCCGATCGATATCTGTAATTCGTCACCGTTTTGCTGATAGTGAGTTCCTCAGGTTACAACGCTGTGTATACTAAGCCTTCGGTACATGGTTGGCGGTGTACTTGGCCGCCTACACTTCCCCAGTTGTATAGTAAGATATTGTATTCATTTACACAGCTAGTAAACTGAAGGTGCCCTGAGTATGAACCAGTTACCCTTAGGACAAGATATGAGCATACAACCCACTCGGCCACCGTATTCTTATTTTAGTCATATTACAATGTTCTCAGTTTAGTTTTTTTTATTCACATTATTTCAGTAATTTATGGTGATCAGATATGAGGTATAAAATATAAGAGAACAGTGGGAATTTTAATACACAATAATGGTATAAAAGGGGAAAATATACCATGTACTACTTTATGTGGGGACAGCACAAGGGAGGTGATATGTAGATAACAAGAGGTAGAATGATATATAAATTGATTCGATACATTTTTATTTTGCACTGTACACTATATTCAGATACTGTAGACAAGTATAAACATTCCCCCTGGACACTATCGGTGGTACACGGGCCCTGGTGTGTGGGGTAGGGCAGCATGGTGGATCGGTCTGGGGGCGTCATAGGCAGAGTGTGATGGGTAGTTGGCCTCACCCTCGTAGGTGATGGTGGGGTGGTAGCCCGTCTCGTCGGCGTAGTAAGTCACGGTCTGGATGCGGCCGTCGGGCAGGTGAACAAAGTATCTTCCTTCAGTTCTGTAGCCGTCACGAGTCTCAGCGTGACCGTAGTGGGCGCCAGAGTACTCGTCGTGGACCTCGTAGTCGAAGTTGTAGTTAGCAGGTGACTGGAAATTCGAAAGAAGATGTCATTGATGATTATGGTGTTCAGTAAAAGCAAGGAAGTTATATGAGACTCTCAGTTAAATTACGTATTCATAATATTAATTCACAACTTACACTGGGGTAGGCGTCTTGGTAGGCAGGTTCTGCGTGATAGCCAGTTGGGGCATGGGGCCTGGGACTAGCATGGGGCCTGGGACTAGCATGGGGCCTGGGACTAGCATGGGGCCTGGGACTAGCATGGGACAGTGGACTAGCATGGGACAGTGGTCCAGCATGGGACAGTAGTCCAGCATAGGACAGTGGTCCAGCATGAGACAGTGGTCCAGCATGGGACAGTGGTCCAGAATGAGGGAGACGTCGGGGATGTGGCTGGGTCCTAGAATGGGGCAAAGATGTACTAACATGTGGGAGGAGACCCTCATTGGTCAGTGGCCCATCAATGGAGGGAAAACTAGCATGTGAGAAGGGCGTGATGAGGGGGTGAGGGGTAATGCGTGTCACGTGGGGTTCCAGATGTGATACTGCATTTGGGTGTCGGAGCCCAAACTCAGCGGAGGCCACACCCAACAACACCACCACCACGCTTATCTGGTCAAGCAAAGTAGTAATAAGTTACACAAACGAAAGCAGTAGGTGAATATAATTTAACCAGTCAATTTTCATAAGTAGAATTATTATGGAATATATTATGAAAGCACAAAGTAAAAAAAAAAAGTAGTGATAATTTCAATACAACCTTGACTGCCATTCTCGATCTTGTGGAGTGAGTGTTGCAGCAGAGTCCCGGCGTGCAATATATACCTGAAGCCCGACCGTGGCGCATGCGCAGATTTCAGTGGTTGCACTATTTTGGTAACGAAAGCAATTTACGTGTCACCCAGTTTTTCAAGATCACAACAATTGCTGACGTATTCATAGAAGTGAATGGATCGTGGCAATAAAACAGGTTCCGTAGTGATCATATTATACGTTCACATAAAAGTTTTTTCTTTTCAAACATTTCCTCAATTATTATTATTTTTTCTTAGAAAATATTGTTTACTGACCCTTCATACAACCATGATGGCGTGACACTTGACCTGAGCCCAGTAACAGCTACACCTGATTCACGAGAGAGAGAGAGAGAGAGAGAGAGACCCCAACACCATACAACCTTCAACAAAGCTCCCTAATGCCTCTCTCTCTCTCCTCTCTCTCTCTCTCTCTCTCTCTCTAGTTATCAAAAGTCGTTCCCCAAGGAGGGTGTGGTTATGGGAATAGACCCCCGCTGTTTTCCGGTACAAAGTCAAGGTCTGGGTCAAGCCCTTGTTTTATTGGAACATTGAATGAAGGATGTAGGATGTTGGGGGTGTATGTTGATGTTGGGTGTGTGGATGTTGGGTGTAGGATGTTGGGGGTGTAGGATGTTGGGTGTGTTGGGTGTGTAGGATGTTGGGTGTGTAGGATGTTGGGTGTGTTGGGTGTGTATGTTGGGTGTGTGGGATGTTGGGTGTGTAGGATGTTGGGTGTGTTGGGTGTGTAGGATGTTGGGTGTGTTGGATGTTGGTGTTGGGTGTGTATGTTGATGTTGGGTGTGTAGGATGTTGGGTGTGTAGGATGTTGGGTGTGTAGGATGTTGGGGTGTAGGATGTTGGGTGTGTGGGATGTTGATGTTGGGTGTGTGTATAGTGGGTGTGGGATGTTGGGTGTGTAGGATGTTGGGGTGTGGGATGTTGATGTTGGGTGTGTAGGATGTTGGGTGTGTGGGATGTTGATGTTGGGTGTGTGGGATGTTGGGTGTGTAGGATGTTGGGTGTGTGTATGGGGGGTGTAGGATGTTGGGTGTGTAGGATGTTGGGTATGTATGTTGATGTTGGGTGTGTAGGATGTTGGGTGTGTAGGATGTTGGGTATGTAGGATGTTGGAGTCTAGGATATTGGCTATTGGGGTGAAGGATTTAGGATGTGTGTGTGTGTGTGTATACAATCGGTACTGACAGGTAACTGCACCGGAGGTTAACAGAAGACAGCCATGACTTGGGAAAACAAAAGATGTATTATTTACTCACCGCAAGAGTCAGTGGTTTATGAGGTGATTAGTGATGATTACCGCCTCCCCCCCCCAGCTTAATTTACCTTAAGATTAATAAAGACTTTCATCCAAACCTAACCTAACCTAACCTAATCTAACAGGGCATAACACAACGTAATCTAGTGTAATCTAACCTAATCTAATCAAACCTTATTTAATCTAACCTTACTTAACCTGATCTAATTTAACCTAACCTCACCCCCCCCTCCCCCAGGAAGTGTAAAGGTGTTTAATCATCAGTTTAATCATCTGTCTACCGTGATTTAGCTATTTAATGGGTTTACGCATGTTAGTTCTCTTATATCCTGATTGTTAAGTCTTAATTCTTTCATACTCTTGGGGTGTTTTTCTCGAGTTTCATCTCTTAAACGCTTACCTGTTATCGGTCAGAATCGGTCAGAGGTCAGTAATGAATTGTCCGATTGGTGGTTTTATTGTAGGTACAGTCGGGGTCAAAAGTTTGCTCCCTTCCTAAAATAAAGCAGCATCGACCTCCAAACGAGATACAACAGTCAAGGTAAGTCAGTTCGGAGCCTCATTCCCGTGATTCAGTTTCACCACGAGGATTGAACTTTTGTCCCTGACTGTACACTATTTGCTTGATCTCTACTCACACATTATGCAGTTATCACGAGGTATGACCTAATTAACGAGTAAGTGAACTAATTAAGAAATCAGCGAAGACTTATGCATTATGGACGGCCACTAAGCAAGTTTTAATTAATTAGAAGGTACAGGTTTGATATCTATTGGTGACTATCGTCGTGGTTTGAATGAAGACAGAAAGTGAATATCAGTGTAGTGTATATACATGTTAGATTTTGCCAAGAGGGATATTTTCTTGCATCAGCTACCCTACCATATATTGCTTAACCAAACAGTGTGTAATTGGTGTTGTTGATTTTTACAGCACATCCAACTTGACTGATGAGCCTGTGTACTGTAGGTACCCGTGAATGTCCGCATGTGGGTAGGCGTACACTCAACTATGTGATTATTTACCGGAGTAATTGTCTTACATTCACTCTAGGAGAGAGAGGAGTCTGCTGTAGGTGTTAAGTCTTGGCTGTGGTAGTTGACACAGTAACCAGGTATTGGCTGAGGTTGACAGTATTGACATCACGGTCACCAGGTATTGGCTGAGGTCGACTATTTGACACCACGGTCACCAGGTGGTGGCTGAGGTGTACAGCTTCTGCGACCTCTTATTAGTGTCTGTGTGGTGAGTGTGGGTAGTTAGGTGACTGTGGTTTGTCTATTTATAATCTACAGACTCACATGTTAATTAGTGAGGCGCCTTGTAAACTCATCCTTTGGTTATCGTGAATAAGAAACTAATTCATATATATTCATTAACCTCCACAGTGACATTACGTTAAATAATATTCCTTTAGATCTACTGTCATAAAAACATTGCATTAAACGAACTACACTACTGCCAAGAGATATAGAGTTATGGTAATGGCTATACGAGTATATTAATTCCCGCGTTAGAAACTTTTGCGTGTTGATACAAGGGCGGTAGTGAGTGTCGCGGCGCAGCTGGTCAGGGCTTAACACACACGGCTAACTCTTGGTCCAGTCTGTTGAGGTGAGGGTAGGTAGGTAGGTCGGTAGGTTTATTCTGTTGACGGAGGTACGGGGTAAGTAGGTTTATTCTGCTGACGGAGGTGAGGGTAGGTAGGAACACTGCTGACGGAGGTAGGGGTAGGTAGGAACACTGCTGACGGAGGTAGGGGTAGGTAGGACCACTGTTGACGGAGGTAGGGGTAGGTAGGAACACTGTTGACGGAGGTAGGGACACTGTTGTAGGGGTCACTGGTAGGAACACAGTTGACGGAGGTAGGGGTAGAGTAGGAACACACGGAGGTAGGAGGTACATACACTGTTGACGGAGGTAGGGGTAGGTAGGAATACTAGGACACTGTTGACGGAGGTAGGGGTAGGTAGGAATACTGTTGACGGAGGTAGGGGTAGGTAGGAACACTGTTGACGGAGGTAGGGGTAGGTAGGAACACTGTTGACGGAGGTAGGGGTAGGTAGGAACACTGTTGACGGAGGTAGGGGTAGGTAGGAATACTGTTGACGGAGGTAGGGGTAGGTAGGAACACTGTTGACGGAAATAAGGGCATTAAAGTGTCATCCCCAGCATGCACTTCTCTGGTCATTTAGACGTGTAATGTCTAGAACAACTCGCTGAAGGATTATATTGTGAAATATTATACTGAGGTGATTACTGACTTCTGCGTGTGGAATATTATTGTTATTGTTGTCTGAAGGTCTGTCGATATTGGCGGGGAAAGTACCGTAGTGTTTGGAAAGGCTGTGGCGGTGTGTCGCTTGCTGGTCTTCAGAGGAGTGTGTGTGTGTGTGTGTGTATGTGTGTGTGTGTGTTAATTTTTAAGTTCTCGAAAATATTTTCCTTTCGTAATTTAACTGTGTTCGACAGGGAGTTAAGGTTGAGAGTTCAGCGATGGGTTTATGGTCGCCTGAGAGAAGTTAGAGGGCGAGGCAGGCTGTGCACCCTGGAGTAAGGTCACACATAAACAGTACACCACCGAGAGAGAAAGTCTGAAATAACTGTGGCATTGAGGTAACTGTGTGATCATGATATACGACTGTTTGTGTCCATGATTATGTTACTGTGTGATCATGATATACGACTGTTTGTGTCCATGATTATGTTACTGTGTGATCATGATATACGACTGTTTGTGTCCATGATTATGTTACTGTGTGATCATGATATACGACTGTTTGTGTCCATGATTATGTTACTGTGTGATCATGATATACGACTGTTTGTGTCCATGATTATGTTACTGTGTGATCATGATATACGACTGTTTGTGTCCATGATTATGTTACTGTGTGATCATGATATACGACTGTTTGTGTCCATGATTATGTTACTGTGTGATCATGATATACGACTGTTTGTGTCCATGATTATGTTACTGTGTGATCATGATATACGACTGTTTGTGTCCATGATTATGTTACTGTGTGATCATGATATACGACTGTTTGTGTCCATGATTATGTTACTGTGTGATCATGATATACGACTGTTTGTGTCCATGATTATGTTACTGTGTGATCATGATATACGACTGTTTGTGTCCATGATTATGTTACTGTGTGATCATGATATACGACTGTTTGTGTCCATGATTATGTTACTGTGTGATCATGATATACGACTGTTTGTGTCCATGATTATGTTACTGTGTGATCATGATATACGACTGTTTGTGTCCATGATTATGTTACTGTGTGATCATGATATACGACTGTTTGTGTCCATGATTATGTTACTGTGTGATCATGATATACGACTGTTTGTGTCCATGATTATGTTACTGTGTGATCATGATATACGACTGTTTGTGTCCATGATTATGTTACTGTGTGATCATGATATACGACTGTTTGTGTCCATGATTATGTTTGTACAATATTGTACAGGTGTATATAATTATGAAAATTATATATAAACTACTTTTAAATAGAATATACATATTCTATGCTGGCTGCTTCATCATCTCCCTATGTGAGTTTGTAACTGACTGACGGATGTACAGGTAAATAGATTCCCGAGCTGACGCGCATTATGTGCTCTCGGTAATTTGTTTCCTTGAGTAATTCAGGCTGAATCGGCATTATATATATATATATATATATATATATATATATATATATATATATATATATATATATATATATATATATATATA